CTCCTGGTAGTACTATTCACAATAATTGCCAAGTTATGGAAAGAACCTAAATGTCCATTGAAGAGAAATGGATAAAGAAAATGTGATAAATATAAATATATATATATTTCTATATATCTTTAAGATTTATTTATTTTAGAGAGAGCATGTTCAGAAGTCAGGGAACGTGCAAAGGAAGAGAGAATCTCGGGCAGACTCCCCGCTGAGCACGGAGCCCCATGCAGGGCTCAATCCCACAACCCCAGGGATCATGACCTGAGTCAAAACCAAGAGCCGGACACTTTACTGACTGAGTCACCCAGGCGCCCCATGTGTTTCAGTAAATATACACACATTGACACACACACACACACACACACACACACACACACACACACACACACACACACACACACAGTTGATAAAGGAAATTTTCAACTTGTCTTGTTTGTGGGCCCTGCTCCTAGGCTCCCTCAGAAGCTTTACTTCAACATTCACCAAGGTCAAAATGACTCAGCAAAACCTTGAAACATGAGCTCTATTTCTGCGCTGAGCCCACTGTACATCTGCTTCACTAAAACAATGAGGAAAGGAACATTCCAAACATAAAGGAAAAAAACAAAACAAAACCTCCCTGGCTCCCATAAGATGAAAGTCATATAGCCTTGCACATACTAAAAACATAAGATAAAGTCTATAACTTTCTGTAATGTCCTTTGTCGTGATGATTTCTAACTCTTTATGTAAAAAAAACCGTATCTAACCCTGCACCAAATGTTCTTTCCCTGAAGTGCTCTCTTCTTTTTGAAGACTGTGTATCCAGGGCAGCTGTCCCAACTTGGGCTCTAATAAAACTCTTTTCCTTTTCCTTTAAAATTAAAAAGAAAAAAAGATTTGTTCATTTTGGGTCAACACAGTAAGAGTATTATTCTGCCTTAAAAGTGGAAATCCTGCCATTTGCGACAGCACGGGTAAGCCTGAAGGACACCATGCTAAGTGAAATGAGCCAGTGACAGGAGGACAGCTGCTGCGTGGTTCTACTTACATGGGGCACCAAAAGTCGTCCTACTTATAGAATCAGAAAATAGAACTGTGGTTACCAGGGCCTGGGACACGGGGAGTTGTTCCATTGATAGAAAGTTTCAGGTATGCAGGATGAATTAATTCTAGAAATCTGCTGTACAACACTGGGCCTACAGTTAACAGTAATCTATTACACACTTAGAATTTTTTTGAGGGATTTCATGTGACGTGTTTTTAGAAAAACAAATAACCAAAGGGACACAAGGAAACTTTTGGAGGTGATGGATGTGTCTGTTACCTTGATCGTGACGATGATTCCACGGATGTATACATATGTCCAAATTCATCAAACTATAAAGTATGAGCTGGCTTTTGTATATCTCAATAAGGCTATTTTAAAAGCAAAAAGAAATCTAGGGATCAGTTAATAGAGGGTGGTGGATCTACATGTCCTGTCATGGAAATTTCTTGGGTTCATTTTATTAAGTCAAGGTTAAGAGGCAGAACAATATGTACACTGTTAATGACAAATCTTAAAAATTCAATATATTTATTTTTAATATATTATTAAATATATTCAAGATATTTTACTCACCTTCTAAAATATAGGCTTCATCTACATAATGTAGGCTTCATCTACGTAAGAAAAAGCCTCAGGTCAGCTTAAAAATGACACACATCAGATTGTTCATTGTGATTACCTCTGAGGAGGGGGCTGAATTTTGAGGAAAGGGGAGATTGTAATTTATGTGTATTGTTCGAAGTTTTTAGAAGAACATATGTACTATTACCTTTGTTATTAAAATATTTAAATGCATCTCACCACAAAGGGAGTAGCTGTGCATTAATCAGATAGAGAGACTGATGGCTGATCCAACAGCAAACCTGCAAGGCTTAAAACAACAGAAGTTTGTTTGTCATACGCATAGCCTGATGTGGGTTGGCGGGGGCCTCCTCTGTCATATGATGCAGGGCTCCAGGTGGCTCCCATCAAATGGCTCCACTTCTCAACAAGGGTCTCCGGGTTTGCTGCTGAATGAAACAGAAAGCCTGGAGGAGGCATACTGGCTCTCAAATATCTTGGCCTGGAGGCAACAAACACTGTGTCTGTTCTTATTTCAGTGTCAAGGGTAGTCGCATGACCCTTCCTAAGTAGGGTAGGCATGTAGTCTCCCCGTCAGCCCAGGAAGAAGACCAAGACACAATGCCCGTGAACACTTGCAGCCCCTCTCATAAATTGTCACACGGTAGGTGCTCGATAAAGAGCAACTGTTAGAATTTGTTATGAAAATAACCCTCTTCCTGGAGGCCAGTTTGCCTTGCAATTCTTTCATTTTTTTCCAATCCTGCTATGTGGCAGGTGCTTTCAAAAGACTGGATCACATTTAATTTTCAAAAGGATCCTGTAAAATCTGAGAAAAGAGGGCTCACCTTTTGCACTCAACGGCACCTTTCTGAACTCACCTCCTAAATGAATTCTAGAATCTCTATAGGATGAGAATGGTCTCCTTCTATGGAAGCATGGTTAACACTTGTGAGACTGGGCAATCCTTAGCATGACTGAACGTGCAGGACACTTTGACAGATGCCAGGAGGCCCAAAGACAAACCAGCATTTTCCTCTGGGGCAAGTACCGAGATAAGAGGCAGAAGAAGGGCAAATTATTTTAGTCTTTGCTGTTCCAAGATAGGATGTCTGTCAAGAAACCATTTTTTTCCCCTTAGAAAAACTGGGTTCTGAGGAATTCAGCCTCAGTAGATGTTTGCTGCACAGTGATTTCCACGGTTAACAAATTACAAGGGAGGCTTTGAGTACTGACCGTCTATCTAAGCTCAGTCATTGGTGTGTGTGTTCAGTGGCCAGTCTCAAACACCACACTCCTGCAAAATCCTACTGACAATATCTGTGTTTACAGAACCCTCTAACTTCAGTTACACTCCAAGAACCAGGATCTTCTGTAAGCAAGACTCTAACCACCAGCTCATTTGGAATACACTTCGAGACTGTTGTAGGGATGGGAGGGGTGGTAATCCGGTATCTAAACTTCACGGCCTATGGCTCCACTGAGGGATGGAACCTCCGAGGTCCACTTGCAGGGAGGTGGAAGGCTCTAAGGGGAGGGCAGGTGATTCAGGACTGTCTGTATCACCGGAAGCTGGGCGCAGCCTCCAGCAGACACAGTGGAGAGCTGGCAGCAAATGAGGTTCCTTTTCGGACAGGAGGGCACACTGGAGAGCACTTAGGGCACAAGGGCTGCACTGTAGGCAAGTGCTGGGACAAGATGGAGCCTCGCTCAACGAAGCGCACAGACAGCTCCCAAATCGTGCTTTCTTCTCACCTTCGCCTTCCTTCCCCAGGACTACTTCTCGCACCATGGCTAGCGCGTCTGGGTTTTTAATGACCTGTGACACACCTTGGACTAGTGAGCAGAATAGAAAATGAAGAGACAGAATGTCGCCTCAGGCTGGAGGAATGGAAAGGTGTGGGCCCCAGTCAAATATAACCAGGGATCGAGTCCTAGCTCTGCTATTTATCAGCCATGTGAACTTGAAAAATTACAAGTTCTTCAGCTGCGAAGTATGTCTGATAAGCCCCATCCTGTGGGACTACTGGAATAAATGTAACGGGTATGAGGCACTTGGCAGAGTAACTGGAAAATAGTAGGCCTTCAATGAATGGTAGTTATCAGAGGGTTTTTTGTTTTGTTTTGTTTTAACCTGCAGATGATACCATCCTCCCCTCTGGGGAGATTTATTTTATTTTAATTTTTTGAGATTTATTTTTTAATTCAGGAGAGATCACAGAATATGCAGCTTTCTAGGACAAATAATACCAAATTAACCCATAATGCTGCTTAGCAAGTAAAACAAAAGAAGGTTTTCCCAGTTCAGGATAAGTTACTTAACTTGGGGGTAGAAGAGTCTCCCCCAGCCAGAGGCAACTCCGATGTCCCAGAATGTGTCAAGGACCAAGACCTTCGCTCCCAGGTGCCTTTCCAGCCAAAGCACCCCTGTTTTCACTCATTTCACCACCACCAAAAATCTCATCCTCCCTTAGAATTTGCCAAATCAGTCCCGATAATCTAATTAAAATGCCCTATAAATGCACTGGGACCTGGTTCTCCACCCAATTCAGAGCAAAGAGAAACCTCTCAACATCCCACCTCAAAGGAGTAGCACCTTTATTAGATATTCCCTGAAGATGCTCTGCCTAAAACAATGAGATTGTGCTCTTTGTCCAACTGGCCGTGAACAAGAACACAGGATACCTTCCATTTCTGCCTGTGGAGGAGGTTGCCCTCGGGTTTGCCGAGGGTACCAAAGAAACATAGAAGCAGGCGTGCATTTCACGCCCTCCAACACTGGGAAACCATCGGTCTGTCTGGCCTCAGCTCACCAGTCCCACAGTCCCATGTGGCCCACCATGTAGCTTAAATGAACAGTCTATCCCGCCGAGGGGCTCAGAGTGGCCTAAAAATCCCAAGCTGCCTTTCTTCAGGGAATTGACACCTCCTTGCTCAGCCAGACACCCTCCCCGTCCCCCTTCTCCCAACCGTCTCCCTGCCTCCTTACCTCTTTACTCCTTCTTACTGGTCCTTTAGGTCTCAGAGGGTCCTTCTCCATCTTCTCTATATGATTACTGTTCCTGGACTGCACAGTCTAAGGCCAGGAGTGTTTTATATCCTAGCTTCCCCATTTCTAACACTAACTTTTACAGAGCAGACACTCAATTAGTATCTGGAAAACAAATGACCCAGCAAGCATGAATTCTACTATTTAAGCATTTTATTTCTCCTCCATTCTTTTTTTTTTTTAAAGATTTTATTTATTTGAAAGAGAGAATGAGAGAGAGCACGAGAGGGAAGAGGGTCAGAGGGAGAAGCAGACTCCCTGCTGAGCAGGGAGCCCGATGTGGGACTCGATCCCGGGACTCCAGGATCATGACCTGAGTCGAAGGCAGTCGCTTAACTGACTGAGCCACCCAGGCGCCCTCTCCTCCATTCTTTAATAAGCCAAACAAATCCATGTATGCATCTTCTATCCTTACAGAACAACAGACTAAAAAGTATAAGGGAAACCAAGAACAGAACTTCTTTTACTTCTCCCCCCTCCTTTTTTTGATCCCAGCAATTTTACTGCGAAATTCTTTCGCATTTCCTAGGGAATGCCTGTTACAACGCCATGTTTCATTGTTCTGTTTTGGTAAATATGAAAGGTTTCCCAATTTGTTTTACTAAATAATAAAACACCTAATCTTAAATCTATTAAACAGCCACAAACAACAAAAATCATTAATAAATTTAGATTCGAAAATTATATAAACTTTCTGTTAAAGAAATAACATTTGAAACATAAAAGAAAAAGAAAGCAAAAGGAAGAGAGAAAGAAAAAAAAAGAGAAAGAAACAAGAAAAGGAACAAAACCTTTAAGTTTACGAGATATAGCAGGACCACAAAGACGATATTCACTGTGTTCCTTCCAGACCCACTCTGGCCATCTATTCCTTAGAATGTTGACTGCTTTTTCCTTCCACAAAGAAAACAATCTGCTTCAAGCTTCAACATTTGATATAAGACCTACAAAAAAAAAAAAGAGTGAAACTCCACGTTACTGACATACAGGAGGAACGCAAAGATGACACACACTTCTCCAGCCCCGCCCTGGCCCTCCGCTCTTAGAACGGTGACACACCTGTTCAACCAGCCGCCCACGTCACTTAGGGTGGGAGAAGCTGCTGGTCAAGGCCCTGGAGCGTGCCCTGGCCATGGCAGCGGTCTGAGCCCTGGCTGCGGCTCGGGCTCGGGCTCGCTCTTCCTCATCTTTCAAAGCCTCTTCGTACCACGGCGGGAAGGCACTGGGGACGGTATCATGAATCTTGGCTAAAAACTCCAGGACTCTCATCTTGCTGGTCTCGGCATAGGCTCGCGGGCCCCACAGGAACTCGTAGCGTGGAGGATCACTGTTGGCCACCTGGCGGTACTCCAGGTACTTTAGCTGCACCAAATCTTGGGTGACGATCTTCCTGGGCTCCCCATAGATTAAGTGCTTCCTTTCAGCATAGACGCCCATCATATTCAGGACTTCCCAGACTTGCTCCTCAGGGGCGCAGTTGCCTCTAATGAAGATCACACCCAGCACAATCATCAGGATGCCGGTCTTGGGCATGTTCTCTTCTTCATGCATCGTGCCATCGACGGTGAGGTCGAGTTTGCTGATGAGGGTGTAGCAGTGCCGGATGGGATCCACTTCCTTCAAATCAATCCCGAAGGCCAGCTCCATGTGCTCAGAGGCTCTCTTGAGGATCTCATTGAAATGATACTTGTACTTTTTGAGGACAAGCTTCAGCATGTCTGCCTTCGTAATTGGCTCTTTCTTTTGATACTTCTCCAGCAGGAAGTGCACCAACAAAACTACCTTCTTGTTTAATGGGTCTCTGCGTGAGACCTGAGTGCCATGAGACGATCTGGGGCTTCCCCCATCTTGGCTTCTGGCATCTTCATCTGAATTGATGCATGAAAGAGCTGCATCAGCACTGGTGGAAGATGCGGTTCCCTGAGGATGGCTAGGAGTCGCAGCAGCAGGTCTACCCCCAGAGGGAGGACAGGCGGTGGAGGGGGACTCTCCTGCTGCTGCTGCAGTAGCCTGAGCATCCTTCAGAGCCTGGGTCTCACCACGGGCCTGGCGGCGTTTCTCACGGGCACGGAGCTTACTCTTCTGACCTCTAGGCATGGTGACTCTGGTCGGGGATAGCAGGCAGGAGTTAGGTGCAAGCAGTTAGTCTGATAAAGAGGTCACCCTAGAATATGGAAGAGGAGATGGTGGGCATAGCCTCGATAAGGATATTCTACTTGGGCTCCAAGAAAAGGTGCCTCTGCTTATTCCCCTAAGGGTACTGTTTTAGGAACCCATAAAAGAGGGGTGAACAGGACTCCATACACCTCCTCTCTTCTGTGGGGGCTTGTCACCTCAGTTCTAACTCCGCATACTAAACCGGACTCCTGATTGGTCTTTTGAAACCTCCCCCTGCTGACTTGAGGCTGCCCCTTCAGAAAAAGACCTCCCATCCCACAAATACCCAACGCGGAAGTGAGGGGCCGTTAAGCTTAACAGCCACACTGCAGCCACGAGGTCGGGGCAATGGGGGTGGGGCATGCCAGAATAGCGCGGGGGTCTTTGAGCCACCTCAGTTCTGAAAGGAATGCATCTCTTCAGTTCTAGCAAGTTACTCACCTCGACACCTGTCCAGTCCTGGCACTCCTCCTTTTGCTGGCGTGAGACCACACACCTCTACACCTCTCACACCGAGAACTCAGGCTCCGCGGCACCTAGAGCGGAAATCAGGGTGAGCACTTCCGGCCACGCCCACCTGGACTTCCCAACGTGAAAGCTCGCGTGGGTTTCTGGAGGACTCCTGTCCCTCGTGGTGGCAGAGGAATTATGTGGAAGTCAAATAGGGGTCCTTCCTGACTCCTGTCAGGCAGGGCCTGGGACTTCTTCCTCCAGTGAAGTTAGCTCACATCAGACCATGGCTTTCATTTCCCTCAGAACCCCCAGTAGGGAGTAAAGCGGGAGCAGAGCCGAGCAGCCATGACTGAGACCTTCCAAGACTGATGGGGACAGACCGGGACTGGGACCGGGAACCACCTCTCTGTTGCCCCTTCTTTTCGGGTGGGTTCTCATCTCAGTCTTTATTCAGGGTCATACCTTGACGACTTGGTGCTGGGCTATGTCTCTTCTGCTGATCCGAAGCCAAATCCATCAGGTAAGGCAGAAATAATTTAAGGAGAATTGACATCCGTACAATATTCTGCTTACTGTAAATGAGCGTGGTGTAGGGCGCCTGGGTGGCTCAGTTGGTTAAGCAACTGCCTTCGGCTCAGGTCATGATCCTGGAGTCCCACGATCGAGTCCCACATCGGGCTCCCTGCTCAGCAGGGAGTCTGCTTCTCCCTCTGACCCTCTTCCCTCTTGTGCTCTCTGTCTCTTTCATTCTCTGTCTCTCAAATAAATAAATAAATAAATAAATAAAAAACCTTAAAAAAAAATGAGCGTGGCGTATTGCTCTATTTGAGACTTCTTTTACCTAAGTCTATTAGTAACTTTTTTAAATATTTGCTCTCATAAAGATCATGCACATATTTCTTAGTTCTTTTTTTAGGTATATTTTGGATATTGCACTGTTTTGAATGGTATATTTTCCATGATATATTCTTTTATTTATTTTGTGTGGCTAGACTTCTGATTTTGCTGTAGTGTTCTACATCAGTTTCCTGAAGTTCCTTATACAATTTGAATACTTGACAGCCAATTTCTTTGGAGTTTTTAATTAGGGGATCTTATTATCTCTTTTCATAATCCATAACTTTTATTTTGGTATTCCTATGTATGGCTATATGCTGGCTCCACAAACCAGTCCAGGTTTGAACGGTAGAAATGGTACCACACCTCCATATCCTGTTTTGACTTCAGGGGGAATGTTTTAACATTTCACACTTACGTATGTGTGCTGTTGATTTTAGAATATGGAAATTCTATTCTAATATGTTTGTTAACAGTTACTGGCACGAATTGGTGTTGAATTTTTATCAAAGGTCTTTTTCTCTACTCTCAGAACATGATAAAATGCTTTCTCTTCTCTCTCTGTTAACTAATTCACAGTTTTTTCTAATGTCATATGATCTTTGCGTTCCTTGGACACAGCCTCTTTCTTCATTCAATTCGCTGCTGTACTGGATATGCTATGAATTTATTTAGAATATGTATATGAGTAAGCTTGACTCAAGTATTTTTTTCTTGGGGCACACTCATCTGGTTTCTGTATCAAGGACAGTTAGCCTGTTAAAGTGGTTGAGTAATTTCCCATCTTCTTGTACAGCTTGTAAGAGCTTACTTAAAGTGCTGATTAGCTTTTCCTTCATCATTTGGTGTAACGGACCTTTCAACCTGGCTGATCCTGGTACAGTTTGAGGGCAAAATGTGCCCTGAAAATATATCAGGATTGAGTTTCAGGTTCTATCGGTCAATGAAAGTTTTATATTTCTTTATGGACCTGTTTAGTGATTTATATTTTGCTACAAATGCTTCCATTTTACTTGGGTTTTCAAATGTAAAGACATATTTATAATAAAATCATTTTATTATAGAAAATTCCCCATCACATATAACATTACAAAGGATAAAGTAACTCAATATACCTGATGCTCAGTATCATTTATCTTCAGTAGTTATAGGAAGCTTGTTCAGATTAGGGTTTATTTAAATATTTGTCTCTTTGTTGGCAAAATCACTCCTGAAGTGACATTGTGTTAATTCCATTAGGAGGCACAAAACATCTGTTGTTTCCTTTGTGGTAATGTTGGCGGTCATTGAGGATCATCAGTGTCATCCATTAATCCATTAGGGGCTGCTGAATTGTAATTCTGGAGTTCTGTCATTTCTTCTGAGATTATTAGCTGAAATATATCTATAGGTAGAACCTTCTGTTATCTTCCATTCTGTTTTTTTGAGGTAAGCCTTACAGTTGCCCCATTTTACTGCCCAGAGAGCTAGATATATAGATAAAGAAAGCTAGATTTTTTTGTCTAATCAATATCAGTAAACTCTTTAGCTCAAAATTGTATTTTTTGTAATTTTAAATAACAAATCTTGCTTGAGAACTAAATCAGTTAGTAACTGGATGAATAATTCATCTGTTAATAATAATTATTAATGAGCAGCACTGGAATAATCCATGTTCAGGCCCTAGTCTTTGTCACATGACATTATTTGTGCCTACAGATAGTTATAATTTTGGAAAATAGAAAATTTTACTATAATTTATTCAAAGCTAGTTTTCTTTGAAGGAATATACTTTCTATGTTCTTTCTATATAGCTAACCAGTCAGTGTCAACTCAATTGAGTTTTATTTTTTTCTTTATAAATTCTAATGTGGACATGGCAACTAGTTTTAATGTTATTACTATCTTAGCTTGTATGTATGTACATAAAAGATAAAATTGTGGACTCCCTCCTCTGGGTTCACAAATTTATTCAATATAGGGCTGTCCTAATAGACTCAGGACTCTATTCATTAATGTAGCCAATGCAAAAATATCTGACTTGTTTGAATAAATATGCTAATATGTACTCTCAATTTATTAAAAAAGATTTTCCAACTTCTCATTTTACTTGTTAGTAAATAAAATACTTAGATTTTTGAATGACTGTTTACTTCTTGAGAAGGTCACTTTTTAGACACATTTCTAGGTTAATAAGCCTGGTAATACAAAATGTTGCCGAGCAAAGACACTGAAACTATGGATAAGGAGTCAGGTTATAAAACCAGGTTTGTCACCATTCAGCTGTTAGAACTGTATTCCCCTGTGCCTTCATCCATCCTGCTCCTCTGTGAGTGATGCAATAACATGTTCTCAAGCAGAAGTTACCTAGAATGATTTGGCTCCTGACAACAATTTTAGCCTTTCAGTGGCTGAAGACCTTTTTCACCTTTACCTTCTGCTCCAGTTCAACTTAGACAAACTGTCCACTCTTAAACCTGCTGCTTCCAATACCATTTCATCCATTTCAGTGGCTACACTGCCAGTGAAGGACCGAATTTCTGAAGGCTTCTTCATTCCCATGCCTTATTCTCTTGGACATCAGTTCCAGCCAAGATAACAATATTTAGGAGACACAGGACATATCTGTTAATGATCCAGGCTAATTCAGAGGAATGGATGCACTGTCTTTGAGGAGTACAATACCTGTGACACCATGCTCAGATTAACATAGCCAGGAGCCAATTTGGCAGATCAAGAGAACTCTATTTTGGGGTTTTTTTTTTTTGGTTTTTAAGTTTTAGTTAGTTAACATACAGTGCTATACTGGTTTCTGGAGTAGAATTCAGTGATTCATCACTTATATACAACACCCAGCACTCATCACAACAGGCGCCCTCTTTAATACCCATCCCCCATCTAGCCCATCCCCCACCAGCCTCCCTCCATCAACCCTTAGTTTGTTCTCTATCATTAAGCGTCTCTTATGGTTTGTTTTGCTCTCTCCTTTTTTTCTTTTCCCCTTTCCCATATGTTCACCTGTTTTCTTTCTTAAATTCCACATATGAGTGAGATCATATGGTATTTGTTTTTCTCTGATTTATTACACTTGGCATAATACACTAGCTCCATCCACATCATTGCAAATGGCAAGATTTCATTCTTTTTGATGGCTGAGTAATATTCCACATCTACTTTATCCATTCATCAGTTGATGGACATTTGGGCTCTTTCCCCAGTTTGGCTATCGTTGATTATGCTGCTATAAACATCAGGGAGCATGTACTCCTTTGAATCTGTATTTTTGTATCCTTTGCGTAAATACCTAGTAGTGCAATTGCTGGATCATAGGGTAGTTCTATTTTTTAACTTTCTGAGGAACCTCCATACTGTTTTCCAGAGAGGCTGCACCAGTTTGCCTTCCCACCAAGAGTACAAGAGGGTTCCCATTTCTCCGCATCCTCGCCAACACCTGTTGTTTCTTGTGTTGTTGATTTTAGCCATTCTGACAGGTATGAGGTGGTATCTCATCATAGTTTTGATTTGTATTTCCCTGATGATGAGTGATGTTGAGCATCTTTTCATGTGTCTTAGCCATCTGGATGTCTTCTTTGGAAAAGCGTCTTTTCATGTCTTCTGCCTATTTCTTAACTGGATTATTTGTTTTTTTGAGTGTTGAATTTGATAAGGAGAACTATTTTTGAACACATAACTTTGCCACTTGCCAAGCAACCAAAATAACTGAGTAGAAAGTTTCTGAATAGAGGCACCTGGGTGGTTCACTTGGTCGGGCAGCTGCCTTCAGCTCAGGTCAGATCCCAGGTTTCGGGGATCAGGTCCCACGTTGGGCTCCCTGTTCAGCGGGGAGTTTGCTTCTCCCTTTACACTTTCCCCCTGCTCGTGATCTCTCCCTCTCTCAAGTAAATAAATGAATAAATTAAATTAAATAAAAAGAAAGTTTCTGAATAAACTTCAGAAATAAGAGAGTATGTTAATACTTCCTAGTAACTGGAAGACAAGGAAGCATCAAGGGTACATGTTATTGAGTTAGGATCAGGATTAAGGTGAGGGGAGTGGGGAATAAAATATTAAAGTTTTAAAGAGATGGGATCTGACCCTGCACTTGCATGACCCCAACAGTGTGTGCCTCACTTGTCTAACCCTATTTTCAGCCCATGGATGGTGTCTTTATTTAAAAGTGTGATATTTTCTCATAATGGATCTTTGGCATTAACTTTATTTTATTTAATATTGAATGAAAGCATAATTTATCTTGATTACTGAGATTGTGTGGTCTACCCCTGACCTTAAATTTTGAGCTCAAAGTCAGTGCCTCCCTTGCCTCACCCTAGCCCCAGTCCTGGTGAGTCTTCAGTGTTTAACACTGATCCTGTCCTCACACACTAAGAGCAGTGATACTTAAGTATACCTGGCCTTGTTTTAAATTCTACGCCTCATTCCACTGTCTGCCTTTGTGATCTTGAGCAATAAAATTACCCTATATGAGATTATGTTAAAAAAAATTTAGAGTGGAGAATAAGGATATTCTTTTTACTGAATTGGTGGGATGATGAAATAAAAGTACATATGAGAAGACACTCTGTAAGTTTCACAAATTACTAGTTATTTAGAAATATTTCTTGGATTGAAACTTTGAGAAAGTCCTAAAAATCAGTCTGGATCCATCCTTTGAGATACCCAGTACCTTAGTGTTCCATCGTTGCATAACAAA